CGTCACCACAACATGCAAGCCCAGCACCACGTCCACCAGCACTACCAAGACGACGCCACCAACCACAACCACGACGCCAACCAAGTGTCCCATCCCGACCCCGACCAATATCTGCGTCCAGCCGACCAACAAGCAGTATGGCTACGGCCCCGGTAACCCAGTTGGCGGCATCGAGCTGCCGGTCGTGACCTGCAACGATCTGGGGGCTGATTGGCCCCAAAAGCCCTTCAAGCTGTACACGGACAGCCGGAGCGAGAAGTGCAAGGGCTACCCGCGCAACTCGTGCACTAATGCCTGCGCCGACGCCTGCAAGGAACAGTACGACGACTGCAACGACGTCTATGTTCAGGGCTGCCGGCAGAACCGACGGCGGGAGGCTGAAATGGCTGCCGAGAAGAGCTCGGGTATCTCATACTTTGATTTCGCCAGGGCCCTCGACAGGCGCACATACGGCTGGAAGGACTCGTACGGCACCGCGCAGAACAAATGCAAGCAGCAGTACAGTGATTGTTTATATCAAAACCGTGGTGTCACTGGTGCGGGCAAGTGTCCCAAGTATGGCGGGTGGTAAGATTAATTTCTTCACACCACACCGAAACATGCGAACTTTCAAAGGGGGAAAAAAATTCGAGATGGGTGGAATAAAATCAATGGGAAGAAGGGGAAAGAAACGAAAAGAGAGAAGGGTTTACTAATACCTCTGTACAAATGTACACCAACTAACTCGTCACGACGACTACGCTATAATATGGTTCGTACACTCCTTAAAGATAATGTATATAATCTAGTTTAGAGGGGGGGAGGGAAGGCAATCTCTTGACCCTCTCTGGCCGCCGAAAATAAATTTAATTTAATAGGTTTCTCGTCTACCTCCTGTCATGAGTTCGAGTGTGTGGTACCACTTTGTTCCTTATTCGTATATTCCGCACATGGTCTTGTGATAGTTAAATTGCTCGACTAGGTTTCACGCCTGCTATTGAATTTTTACAATAGTCTGGTTATATATCGTAAATATTTGTAGAAGATGTGCTGCTACCTACCGATTGACCAAGCTCGAAGTGGCATGGTAAAAGTTGTATATTCTGAAGGTATCAAGATTCTTGGCTTAACAGCAAATCTATATGCACTACCATATCTCAAATTCATCCCGTCACCCCAAACCGGCACCGTCCGACATACACTTGATTGGCATCAACATGGCATCCTGCACCGCACAACCTTATCGATTGATGACCATCGAACCGAGTTTGAAAGCTTGCAAGTAGCAGGTGAGGTGATTGACCGATCGACCGGGCCGGCGCTCGTGAATGAGATTATACACATCTCAATTAGACCAAATCAGTCCAAGGACTGACGATACCAACGGTTCAGGCAGTCTTGGATGACGAGGGGACTCCACAGACATCACCTCTGCCGCGAGTGGCGGCTCCAAAGTTCCGGCAATCCCAGTCCATCCGTAAGAAACCAAACAATTCAAAATAAAAAAGAAAAATCCACGAACGCCCTCGCTAATGCATATATATGTTTTTTTGTCGGTTCCCAGCTCTGTTCTGCAACATCCTGTGGGCGAGGGTGGGGCAAAAGAGAGACGAGAAGAAAAGAAATTGGTCGAATAGACTTCAATAAAGCTTTTCTTTCACTGGAGAAGTTCCTCGCAGGTCCAATCCTCGTAGCTGTTGTATGTCGTTAGCGAATCACACACACAAAACATGCAAAGCCAGAGACAGACAACTCACTATCCGTCAGGCATGTACCGGCGAACGACAAGAGGAATCTTCTTCTCGCGCAGCTCTTTAATGGCAATCTGCAGCGGATCCGTCTCTCCCTCCAAATCAACCAAAACAGGCGCGTTCATGCTTTTGCCCCCATAATGTTAGCACACCAACAAATAGACAAAGCTGATTTATGTCTAACAACATACCTGATCTGTAGCGCGCGCGTGCCTAGGATGCGCGCCTTCTCGTACTTGGTCATGAACGGCGTGGTGGTGCGCTGGTCGTTGGGAATCTTCTTGTCCTTGTGCGACTTCTCGTTGCCCTTGCCGTGGTTGGCGGTCGCGTTAGGGTCGCCAGACGCAATGACGTGGTCGTTCGAATCGTCTCCTCCGTCCCCGGGCGCGTTCTGTCGCTCCTCGCCAGGCTCCGGCTCCGGCTCGTAGTACTCATCCTGGTCCTCGTCGAAGGCCATCTCCTCGCTGAGTAATTTGTAAAGCGCCGTGTCAGTATTGGCGTATTGAAGGACGACAGAGAGAGCTGAGTTTAAGGGGTGGGGGTGCTTACAGGCCCTCAGGGGCGTCGTCGTCGCCGAAGTCGGACATTTTCGCGAGTTAGTTGGAGTAGCGACGTGTTCCGTTTGTGGGGGGGTATAGATGTGTGTGCGGGGCGGGCGTGTTAAGAGGTTTCGTAAGTTCTGTCGCGAGAGGTGGTTTGCGACCGACGAGGTTTGTGCGGAGGAAGACCTTTGGAGGAGGCTCTGGATTTGCGGGCGAACGAACAGAAAAATAATTAAGTGGGGCTTTTGAAAGCCTGGCTGCAAGGCTGAAAACGTGACCCAAGCCATGGCCCGTGCATTGACCGTTAAGCTTTGCCGGCCGGCACACCGATAAGATGAGATAGACCAATCACGTTTAGACATCCCTTCCGCCATCCACAAAAAAAGTTTGGTTTAACGGTTTAATTGAAGCTTACTATATGCTTCCCATCTTCCCGGTTCGGACGGAATTGTCGCGCCTCAATGCCCAATAATGAAGCGAAAGACAGTGGACGAAGGTCTAGAAGATTTCGTAGGCCACGAAGGCCACGGGATCCCTTCTAAACGGCAGCGCGCCAATCCGCCATCCGCAGACGATCATGACCTCGCCGAAGCCGAAACGGCGTCGGTCTTCTCCGCCGCCGACAGCGACACCTCGCCGACATCCACCCTAGAACCGGCGCAAACAGCACCCGCAACCTCCATAACCGCCTCTTCCGCCTGCACTCGGCTCAGCCGCAAGTTTCCCTCTGACCTCAAGACCATCAAATGCACCTTCGCCGGCTGCCCAAAGACCTTCAACCGCCCAGCCCGCCTGACAGCCCATCTCCGCTCCCACACCAACGACCGGCCGCACCGTTGCCATTACGCAGGCTGCGACAAGAGCTACCTGGAAGAGAAGCACCTAACTCAACATATCAAGGGCTCCCACACCCACGAGAAGCGGTACCCGTGCGAAGAGCCCGGCTGCGGCAAGTCGTTCGTCACCGCCACCCGACTCCGGCGACACGCCGCCGTCCACGAGGGAGCCGACCGGTTCCGCTGCCGCGGCTATGTGGATTGCAACCAGAGCTTCCGCAAGCACCAGACCCTCCAGCGCCATATCCGAACCGCCCACCTGGGCCAGGCGGCCTACGTATGCGGCAACGACGGCTGCGACAGCGGCTTTGACACCGCGGGTGCGCTAAGACGGCATATCGCGCGGGAGCATGGCGAGCTCAAGTTCTGGTGCGACGAGTGCAGCAGTCGTCAGAACGATGACGACGACGAGGAGGAACCGCAGCGAGTTGGCTTTACCACGTTGCTGTTTCTCCAGGCGCACATGCGCCACGAGCATATCAACTGTATGTTTTGCGACGTAAAATGCGGTAGCCAGCGCGATCTGGAGCGGCACATCGACCTGCACCATTCGGGCACCACAGTCGAGGAGCGCAAGACGGTCGTCTGCACCTGGGAGGGCTGCGACAAGCGCTTCACTCGCGTGTCCAACCTCAACACGCACATCAAGACCACGCACGAGGGCCTGCGGTTTGTGTGTGGCAAGGTGGACACGTTCGATGTGGACGACATTTCCGACTGGAACTGGATCGAGGAGGGTTGCGGCCAGACTTTCATGAGCAAGGTCAAGCTCGAAGAGCATGTGCGGTTCGTGCATCTGGGGCGCAAACGGCCGCCCAAGCTGTATACGGTGTCTACGACGCTCCCCGAGGATGTGGTTGACGAGATGTCGGGCGCGGCATTGGCGCGGGACCTGGTGTGTTCTGTGGCGGGATGTGCGGCACGATTTGCCCGCCATCCGGACCTGGATAGGCATGTTGAGCGCGAGCATGGTGGTGGCGTCAACGGTGCGGATCTTGAGGAGAATCCGCCGCTCATCCTCGACGATGCGGGTATTGCCGCCTTCAGCAGTGAGGTGGTGGCGGCGTCATTCGCTATCGATCCGCTACTTGAGCAAGCATCACAGCCCCCTGTTGGTGACGAACAAGCCTGGCTTTCTGTGACGACAGACACTGTCAGTACCGCCCCGGTAATACAGCAGCATCGCTCGCCGACGTTTGAGACCGAATGGGCTGAGATGAGGCGGTTGATTGATGTCGATGCCTTGATTGATAAGAAATAAGGTTGTTTTCTTCCACGCCTCGTGATAGGACTGATCTCAGGGCCCTGCACATGAAGGCGTGTGTGCGTCGATGGGAAAAACGAAAGATGCTGCACCGTTGAAATATATGAGTGGGGAACAGGGAATGATATGATCGGATAGATACCCTCTTGGAACTTGATTTTGCTGAGCTGGTTGGTTGGCTGTTATTTAGCTGCGTGTATCTACCAGCTATCTAGCTAGGTAGCTAGTTGCTGCTATGTGGAGAATCGTTGGCGTTATGGATGGGAAGCATGCATGGTTTCTCTCTTATACATCTATCTCTCTTTGATATAAAAGCTTTATCTGGGCCAAAAAGGTGCGAGCACCAGTGACGACGAGATGGCAAGGGCGCTCGCAAAGGGCAAGCCCAGGTAGCTAGGCACGTCAAAGTGGGTCTTTCTTCACTTACAAGTTCGCTGAGAACACCCAGTGAACTGACGGACAGAGGTTTGCCTAGCCTAGCTAGCCCTCTTGATTATACATAGTACTTACTATGTAGAAGTAAGTCGGATTGTGAAACTCGCGTCAGATGGAAACCAGAAAAAAGAAACCAAAAAGATATAAAAGAAAGTTTTTGATACATATTATTATCGTATGTGAGAGTTGATGATGCCCAATAACAGTATTAAACTGTTGACCTTCGCATGAACATGATAGAACCATGGTTCTATTAGTACGACGCTCCAACCAGCTGAGCTAATCGGGCTTGATTGACTCTACCATCTTGTAGTTATTTGTTGAGTCAGATTGACCGTGAGGAATTTATAGATTGTGGGTATTTGTGTGGACACGACGGATTGTTGTTTGGGTTGGGAATGGATGTGTATCATTAGGCGTAATGAAAGTTTAAAGGGGTTTTATTTACATCTGTATAACCCGTAATACGGATTATAATTATTGCCTTATTACTGTACAACCTAGTGGTAGCGTTGAATATAAGGAGTTGCTAGGTGGTGCAAGTCAGAGTGAATAGCAAGATTAATAAGGGTGCTCGCTTTTCGTCTTTCGGAATAACTATAGGGGATATAATTATCAGATCCACCGAGAGTTGTTTAATACGGCTTGGAGGCCCTCAAGGGCTACTTGACCAAAAAGTCGGCTTGGGATACCTCGGTCTTGGAACACATAAGTAAATAACGCGATACTACCCCAGCTCAACTAATTATATCCAAGCTTCTTGAACCATGTACTTCATCAGGGACTATCGGAGCGCATGAAGTTGATCAAGCGCACGCTGTTCAACAACGCGTCCGAAACCACCATCTCAACTCCTACACTAAAGACATCAAGGGCATCTACTCTTGGCCTATGACTAAGACCAATCGTGCCGGCTACGTTTTTCTCTCTTTCGCTCCTGGCAGCGGAGGAACTATTGGCTTCGGAACGGTGGCTGGCCTTGCGGACATCTTCCCGTTGTATTCAAGCCTCGGAAGCATCTCGTTTCAAGAGGAGCGGAGCGAGAAGCGACAGGGGTCTCGCCGCAAGCGCCCCCAGAGGGCCGCCGGAGGCAGAAGTAGCTTCGCTTTATGTCTACGGAGCTTGCGAGGTCACTGTATTTTAAGCCATACAGTAGGTAGATGCGCTCACCACGTAACGATCTAGATTAGTGAAATCAAGTACAGAGGATTTGGATTTGTTATGCCGTTGATTGCGGTCGTTACACACATTTGTATTAACTTTCTCCTTCCTTCTTCATAGGTCGATAATATCACCATTACGGCTACCATCTGTATCTACTGTGCTATACCCGTCACAGGTGTAATAGGATCTAGAACATCACAGCAGAACTTCAATCTCTTTCTGAGAGCTTCTTTTTCTTGGCCTTCTCCACACCATGGTAGGCATGCTTCCGCTTCATGATCTCCATGACTCTTTGATAGCTTTTATAGTGGTCACGGAAGACTTGCTCGGTAATGTCCCAAACGTTCATGATTTCGGACCCGCGCTTGTACGGATACCACGCGACATTGTGACCATATCCGTGGATTCCATGTCGTAAGCGCGGCACCAGAAGTACTGAACCAGAAGGCCGGTGTCCACCCTCTGCTCGCAACTTGTCGACGAACGCCCACTCATCTTGTAGCGCTTTCGGTAGTATATTAGTTCGTCAACATGCTTTCTATGACTTTCTCATAGTGGTCCCGGCTGACTTGTTCGGCAATGCCTTGGACGTAGTTGCCACATAGTACCGGGTTCTCCCGTCCGAGATGTTTTTAACCTCCACGTCGACTAAACTGTCGGATCTCTGCATTGTGCGAGGCCAAGGCAGCCCAGTGGTGCAGTACGTGTAGGCGGCCAAGAGAGCGGGATTGCCAAGGATGCATTTGATGAACTGACGATGTTGTTGGTACGTTGGCGCGGGTCGACTACCTGACCAAGTACTCTCCACCGACCCAGATAAGTGGCTGGAGAGTTTGCTGTATTGCTGTGGCCCGATCGGTCCGGGAGTTCAAAATCGTATCAAACCGTTCAGACGAGAGAAATCGATAGCTGAAGTGGCTTAGGGCCGCACCTGGCTTTGGCCCGTCTGGTGTCAGTCCACCCGAATTGTTGTTGAAATTTCGGTAATTTTGTATGAGAGGTTCGGTATAAGAGAATCGGAGGTATTCCTCCACCGGGGTATACTTGTAGCGCGCATCGGCATGCAAGACTTGGGACGACTGCTCGATCGTTTCGGATGGTATTCGGATGACACCAATACCAAGGAATAAATAAAAACTCGATGGACATCATCAGAGCTTGCTCGCCGGCTCCTGGTCATGGACAATCGCCCCGCTCATCATAAACGGCTCAGGCGGCGCCGGTCCACGAGCTCCATAGAGCACCGTCTCTCGACCTCCTCTAGTACCCCACCATGCTACTCCGATTGCAGCACGTTCGACATCCATTTCCCCACTGACCAAGACGTCCCAGAATCGTCTCTTGACGGGCTCCCTGAGCGTGATGTTCTCAATATCGTTTAGAGCCAGTACTGCCAGGGTGAGCCAGTCTTCAAATATGTTCAGATGGAGAAATGGTAACGAATCAATCAAAGTAAGAACCAAGGTGCTCTGCTCTGACACCATTTCGTTAATGTCAGATGAATGCGAGTTGTGTGAGTCCGGCTTCGGTGGTAAAGGCAGTCTGCCCGCGACAGCACTCGACCGAAAGCGCACCATCTCCAACAAGGTTTCCGCTAGCTGCGGATGCGTTTCCGAGATAGGATATGGCGGTGACAGGATCTGCATCATCGTCTTGAAGGCCACGCGGAACTGGCGGGGGGAAATATAGGACGGAAATGACTTGAACAAAGTCTCGGCATAAAAGGGCGCGAGCTCGACAGTGATGGGCGCATTGTGTGGGCAGGACATGGCCGAAAGCACCGCGCTATGCGCCGTCTCGAATAACTCCATCATGCGCGGCGAGAGAGGAGCCGCATGTGTCAGGTAGGTAATTGCCGGCTGCACAATCAGTTTGTCGCAGGCCTCTGGGGGCATATTCAAGGGAAGGTGCTCGGCAATATTCAGGTAGAACAAGTCCAAAGTTCTGTGGAGAGGGTGAGCGGGGATGGAATCAGAGCTGGCTGGCTTGATATCGCTCAGGAAGGCGACACATCCATCGGGGTACCGGGAGAGGTTGTCGAGGGAGGTGAGGTACGTGAAAGTGTACACCTGGAAAGCACTGCTTCCGTTCCAGGACGAGATAAAGTAAAGATTCCGCAAGGTTTTAAGGGATTGTATGGCGACGGTCGGGGCCACTGCGTCGTTCCTCAAATGCGGATCGAGGAGACTTCGTGCAACAATCGACTGCAAGACGGCAACAACACCGTACATGATCTTCTTCAATAGCTGCCAGAGGGCTGCCCACGGGCCACGCAGGGTCTCGTGTGTCAGGAAAACAGCTTCCTCTGATAGCTCCAGCTCTGACAACTTGTTTGTCTGCCATTGTTGCAGCAGCTTCTCCGTAAATACCAGGATGTCTTCTTGGACCTGCAGTACGACACGCGAATCACGCGCATGCTCAATGGCGAATGACAACAGCCTAGTCAACGGCCCGAGACCAGATACCAGTGGCTTCTGCTCGAGCTGGCGCACATGAAGGAACGAAGGTGAGTTTTGGGGCCACATGAATTTCTGTCCGGCCTGTCGCAAATCGAGATCGATTGCTCCCAAAAAGACACCATCGTTCAGGCCATCTTTCGTCAGCATTGCGATTGTCACGGCGGGGAGAAGGGCGTCGCAGTCCAGCATCCTTCGCGACGGCTCGGATAGCAGTGAAAAGACAAAGTTGAGGGCTAGTATCACCGGGCCGGCGGGAGCAGGAGGTTCGGGCTCCCTCGCTCGGAGGGCAAGGTTGGTCGCGGTGACAACAGCCTGTTCAAGCGTGTTGCGCATGCCACGGCTGAGCGACTGCTGGCCATGGCTCCGGTTGTCCAGGCCCATCAAGACACCGCACAGCACCAATAGATGCTGCCATCTGCTTGACTGATCGTCTGCGCCCTTGACAACAGCGCTAGCCCAGGCGTCACTGCTCAAACCGCCACCAGTCCTGGGGCCCTTGTGCTTGGTGTTCTCCAGCTCGTTCCGGCGAACATGGGCTGCGGCGGTGTTGTATATGCTGATGATGCGGTAGCACGCTCGCATGCAATCTCGACGGGCCCAAATGGCGGGAGAAGTGAGCAGCTGCGAGGTGAGAAGAGTGATGTTCAGCGGATTTGAGAGATTCGCCAGCAGCATGGTTGTTGTCGAGTAGATCTGCTCGGTGCGTGCATCGTCGTGCACGTCTTGGTAGAGCCGGAGGACCGACGTGAGGAGACGGTCGACCGACATGGTGACGGCTTAATCTCCCTCAGGTTCTGATCGTTGATGATTGTAATCAATAATTTGGAGAGTTGAGTTGTTGCGTAAGAACAATGGATGGGTGGTCGGCGGTTGTCATTTGACCGGGGAGCTCTCTTGTGCCGAGGCACATACATCTATCCGTTACAGCGTATCCGTTTCAGCGCGTATGCGCTAACCAAGCTCTGGTGGCCCCAAGCCCATATTCACCAAGCTCCAGCTCGCATCCGCATCCGTGATCCACCACTGCCATCTTCAATGCTCAACATAAACTCCAAAGTCGTAACCAGAATTGACATCGGGCCCCGCATGTAACAGATATGGAATTTGCATCGTATGATTTCTTTGTCCCAAAGAGCAATATGAAAAAAAAGCTGACATAACCCAAATAGCATCGTCCGTCGTGACGGCCCTCCGCGCGGCTACACAACCCCTCCGTTTCCCTCCCTCCGCTGGGCTCCGAGCGAACCGGCATGGAATCTCTATTATCTGGGTGACATTTGGCGCTTTACCTTTCTCTGGACCCTCATAATATACGGTCTGTTCCATATTGGAGCCGCCGGCGTTGCGCTGCTGATGCAGGTGGGCAAGGGGAAGTCGAACTGGAAATATCTGTGGATGGTCCCGCTATCTTATGCCTTCATTGCCGGTGTCGAGGCCGTATTGGCCGGGAGCGTGGTTGGGTTGATGTGGGTAAATTCCCTACCATCTTCAAGAGATGTGCTGACACCCCATCTAGGGTCGGTGCGACCTACATCGCCGGCAACTTCACCATGTCTACCTGGATCCCCTTTGTCTGGGGGTTAGTCAACGTCCTGGTCTTGCTTGTGTCATCCTTCAGGATTCAGGGTGGTCTATGATTGATTCTTGGGAATCTAATCGGTGCGGT